TATAAGGGATACATAGGCACCTTGAGGTTAGACTTGGGAGCAGCCGCAAAACCAAACACACACGTTCTGTTTCTTTATGATGGAATCAAAGGGTGTTCCCTTAAAGTAAGGGATTGTAATTAAGAGACACTGCGTCTCAAATGGGTTGAACCTAAACTAATAAAACCCCATTATTTAATTAGTGATGGTGAAATTATGTTGGGAGGATCACATTTTCCTTAAAAAATGCACCAAAAAATAAAAAATAAAAAATTCAAACATGGTGGGTTTGGATAAGCCCCACAATGTTGCGTGAGTCTGGTCTTCACCCTATGCTTGTTTTCAAAACAAGTTTGAAACTACCTGGAAGTCATATTGTTCCTAATCTTATGCCTAAAGAAAAGGAAGGGATCATGATTCAATAAATAAGGAATGAGGATAATAAGATAAAGGGGAAGAGTAATCCAATTTGAATGGGAATTCTTCCATCTCAAATCTCTCTCATAAGGACTCTATAAAAAAGGAGGAGAGAAAAGAAAAAGAGGGGACAGCTGACAAGCTGTAGAGAGATACAAAAATAAAAAATAAAAAATAAAAAAGGATGCAGCAAGGCTTGGGGAAGAATAGGGCACATCCATGCTGAAGAAAAATGACAGAGGCAATCAAGGCTCCTCTCTTGATGTCCTCCATGTTGGATGACAACCCTTTAGTCAATCAAATGGATGGCAATCCATATGGGGGTGGCATCCCTTGAATCAAAATTTCTTGGATGTTCAATCCATCATTGGGTAATAAACTTTGAAATCAAAGCATTGGGTTTTGCACCCCTGAAACAAAGCTTGGGTATTTCACTCTGAAAACAAATACGGGTTTGCACCCTGTAAACAAGTTTGGGTATTGCACCCTAGAAATAAAGTCTGGGTGTTTCACCCTCAATCAAGACTTTGGGTTTTGCACCCCAAAAAAATCTAGGATACAAAACCCATCATGGGCGTGTAACCCTCAATCAAATACTCTGTGATATATCCATTTTGGGCATAAAGCTCATTCACTCAGTTTTCTGGATGACAGGTCCAATTTGGGTGCAAAATCCACAAACAAAACCGTGGGGGGGGGGGGGGGGGGGGTAAATCCACACGACACAAATGGAACCTCTGCCTTTGGAGAATCTGGAGAATCTGATCAATTTTCTCCCTCTCTGTCAAAAAAACAAAGGCACATTAATATCTTCTGTGTCTGGACTGCTCTGAAACAAAAAATCAAAATAAAAATAAAAAATCAATTGTTTGCATTGAGATAGATTAAAACAAAACAAAAGTTTGCTACAGTAGAAAAAAAAATGGAGAAGGTTTGTATTTTGTTTTGGAAGAAGTTCTGGTGCATACAGAGGCGATATACTGAGAAAAAAAAAAAGTTGAACACAACCATGTTTTTTTTTTTTTTTTTTTTGGGGGGGGGGGGGGGGGGGGGTGTCAGAGAGTAACTCAAGTTTATGGATAAAAGGGACAGCGACATTTGTTGGTAGCAAAGAAAAAAGGAAAAAAAAGGAAAAGTAAAGTCTACAAAGAAGACAACAACAAAAAAGAAGAATGAAAAAAGCAGAGAAAGAGGGAAGTGGTTGTACGCCACTTCGTTTGGCTAAAGGGTTGAAGACTAATGTGTCACATCCCGAGATCGGCTCCGCCGTAGCACGATATTGTCCGTTTTGGGCCTCCCTCTTTGCTCTCACGGTTTTGTTACTAGGAACTCACGAGCAACTTCCTAGTGGGTCACCCATCATGGGATTGCTTTAGCCCAAACTCACTTAACTTTGGAGTTCCCATGACTCCGAAGCCAGTGAGCTCCCAAAAGACCTCGTGCTAGATGGAGGCGGACATGTACATATAAGGCACATCACCCCCTCTCTGTTGGTCGATGTGAGATGTTACAAATGGGCCAGCAAAGAAGAAAGGAAAGATGTCAGGCAACAGAAAAATAAGTACAGAAAAGAAATAATAAAAGAAAAAGGGGCTAGTACCCCTTGGTAGCTTGCGGCAATGGTACATAGATTTGATCCCGTTAAGGGTACGTAAGCAGTCTAGCATCTTAATAGACGCAATAGCAACCAAATTTGAATCATTGGTTACATCAACCAAATTCCCACAAATCAAATATCTATCTTCACACAAATCAATTCCGAACTACATTGGTTTGATCCCTTCAGGAATACGTAAGCAGTCTAGCATCTCAATAGACGCAACCGCAACCAAGTTTGAATCCTTGGTTTATTCTTAATCAAATTCACCCCAAACACATATCAAAATCGAATCCCTAGTTTATTCAGCTAAATTCACTCAAACACTTTTTTTCAATCAAATTCATTGAAATTTCCTTTTTTTGCAATGAGTCATTTAGTCATTGCAATTCTTTGAACTACGAATGGCTTGATTCCCGCAAGGGATACATAGGTACCCTGAGGTTGGACTTGGGAGCAGCCGGAAAACCAAACACATACGTTCTATTTCTTTATGATGGAATCAAAGAGTGCTCCCTTGAAGTAAGTGATTGTAATTTAAGAGACACTGCGTCTTAAATGGGTCGAACCTAAAATAATAAAACCCCATTATTTAATTAGTGACGGTGAAATTATGTAGGAATGATCACATTTTCCTTCAAAAACGCACACACACACACACACAAAATCAAACATGAGTTTGGATAAGCCCCACAATGTTGCGTGAGTCTGGTCCTCATCTGATAAAGGGGAGGAGGAATCCAATTTGAATGCGAATTCTTCCATCTCAAATCTCTCTCATAAGGACTATAAAAAGGAGGAGAGAAAAGAAAAAGGGGGGGAGGGGGGAACAGCCGGCCGGTTGTAGAGAGAAAGAATGGAGCACAGCCATGCTGAATAAAAATGATATAGGCAATCAAGGCTCTTCTCTTAAGTTTTGTAAAAAATATAGTTTTCCTTTTCCGTAAAGCGAAATACAAAAACATTTATATTATAAATAACATATAAACAAATTGGAGAGCTTTAAAGGTATAATGAAATTGAAGAAAACAAAATAATAGGTAAGTAAAAGGAAAATAAATAATAAGTAAGAAGGTGAGTATGGTATAGTGAAGCACGTCAAAGCCGTTGTCCTAAAGCCTTTGTAGCCTTTCTAAGTATAGGTACTAACGGTCTACGAGAATCCAAGATACGACCCCTTGTACCAAACTCAGACGGATATAGGTATCCAAGTCACATAATCATTGCCCAAAATAATAATATAAAGTAGATAATATATATATATATATATAAAAGTAGAAAAAGAGAGAATTAGTTTGTGGTGATGATTGTGGTATGTGATATTCGTATGGTGTATTGTGTGTGTTCAAATGTGAAGGAGACATGTAACCTTCACCAACCATAAAAGTTCACCAACCAAAAAATTAAGGCATTCACCAACCATAAATAAAACCTGAATATTAAATATTTATAACCCCTACAATAATAAAATAAAACAGCCAAAATAATTAAATAAATAAAAAAGTTAAAATTTTAAAACCTTTTAAAATTCCAACATTAAGGTCCTCCATGTTGGGTAGCAACCCTTTAATCAATCAAATGGATGACAATCCATGTGGGGTGGCATCCCTTGAATCAAAATTTCTTGGATGTTCAATCCATCATTGGGTAATAAACCCCGAAATCAAAGCATTGAGTTTTGCACCCCGAAAACAAAGTTGGGGTATTTCACCCTGAAAACAAATATGGATTTGCACCATGAAACCAAACACACACGTTCTGTTTCTTTATGATGGAATCAAAGGGTGTTCCCTTGAAGCAAAGGATTTTAATTAAGAGACACTGCGTCTCAAATGGGTCGAACTTAAAATAATAAAATTCCATTATTTAATTAATGGTGGTAAAATTATGTTGGAAGGATCACATTTTCCTTCAACAGTAGGTTCGATCCAATCCTCCCTAATGCAAAAAACATGAATTCAACTAATATGTATGGCTTGTTAGTGATTGCATGGCACTACATAGTTTCACATAGTGCATATGAAGTGCTAACATAAATCTTTCCATCATCTCAATGTGAATGAAGGTCTCCATGTACATTCAATAGTAAGATGCTGACACTCAATAGTATATATATAACTAACTATATATCAAGTGGATCCCCGGAATATTCCATACAAAATGTATAAAATATATGTCCATTTTCATCATGTGTTTGATCGTGACGCGTCTACAAACATCAGCAGCAGATAGACATGAGATTTTTCATCCAAGCTAATAACAAAACTAACTTTTCGTTGCACTTTGCTAGCAAGAAAGAGCCATTAGCTTTACATTGGCTTATATCCTTTTTTGTTTTTCCAAGATTTGACATATTGTTCTGCTAGACAATGACACAGCAATGAGAAATACATTTTTCTTCCAAATCTTGCACTAAACATACTGTTCAAAAGAAAAGTATTAGATTGTGTTTCAAAAAAGAAAAGTATTAGATACCATCTTCAAGAGAGCAGTGCCATCACGACTGCCTGCCGGTGCCAACTTTTTGAAGATGCTTATTATATCGTGCATATATTTCTTCTGTTTTCTTCCTTCATTTCCTGTCTAGAGTTTTTAACACATGGATTGTTATATTCTAAACAAAGAATTTTACGTTATTATAACGCCATCTAAATTAATATATTTGGAATTCCTCGGTCCAAATGGAACTAGTATTAAATAAATGAAATATAGAATTGATTACTTATCTGAGGTCATAGATAGTGATGCACGAATAGAGTAGTAGGTTTGCTTAATTGATTCTGGAGGTAACTTTATGACAAATTTCCAGTAAAAAGACAGCTAAAAGGGGTGAAGAACTATAAAAAAATGCATGTTGGTTGCATGAACCACTGTTCAAATGATGCCTAGAATTTTACCCTGTCTATCCCCAAATATGGGAGGGTGGTCTGCTTGGCCTATATATATATATATAGGTTTCGGATCACAATAATCAGAAAGAAGTGAGAGGGTAAGCTCACATATAGTTAAGATGAATTGCTGTGAACAATGGAAGCCTGTTGTTGCCATGTTGGTCATAAACTTTGCATTGGCTATGGTTAATGTACTTCTGAAGAAGACTTTGGATCAAGGATTGAACCATTTGATTATTGTTACTTATCGACAGTCGATTTCTGCTGTTTTCTTGGCACCTATTGCCTTCTTTTGGGAAAGGTAAGACCTATATTTTTACTCAATTCCTCATCAATCACCATCAATTCGGCTCATAAATTTTTGTGGAACTATTAAGAGTAATGTTACATGTATCATATCATATATATTTCCTAATCATATCGTTTGTATGGATACAACTTATGTCTTTTGGGTTCATCTCATTTCTGCAAAAGACGTAGTCGGTAAATATGGTGTAAATAGTTTCATTCGACCACCTAAGGTGTAGTTAGTTTTCTTGCAGGAAAAGCAGACCGGAGCTTACATTTCGAATCATATGCCAACTTTTCTTCAGTGCTCTTATTGGGTTAGTAATGGCATTGCCAATTGATAAGGTTCCTCTGATTTCATTTATTTTATCTCATTTTTCATTTGATGTTGTCATATAATGCATTGAGAATCTTTGGCAAATGTACTTATGTCCTTCAGGGTAACATTCACACAATACTTATTTCTTATTGGACTTCAATACACCTCTGCTACATATTCCTGTGCCTTCATCAACATGGTGCCTGTTTTCACCTTCCTATTGGCTCTACCATTTGGGTAAAGTACACACAATAAGAGAATTACTATATTAATTACTGACTTAACCACAATTACTGCAATTAACTTCATTATAATTGGCTTTACATTAACTTTCCAGGCTAGAGAAAGTGAACATAAAGAGCAAGGGTGGCATAGCCAAAATCCTGGGTGCGCTGATATGTATTGCTGGAGTTTTGTCATTGACATTGTACAAAGGAATACCACTAACAAACCCTAATTCACAAGACACAACTCAAATGCAAAACCATGCCAATACCATGACTTCAGCTAAGAAGACAGAGAGGTGGGCAGTTGGTTCAGTGCTTTTGCTGGTAGGCTGCCTCTTGTGGTCTTCATGGTTCCTCATACAAGTAAAAGTTGGCAAGAGCTACCCTTTTCAATACTCCAGCACCGCTATCTTGTCGTTTTTCGGTGCCATTCAGGCAGCCATCTTGTACCTTATCACTGAGAGGAACCTCACCATGTCAATGTGGGCTATGAAAGGAAAGTTGGAGATCTTAACTGTCATATATGCTGTGAGTATTTTCTTTCTTCTGCATCTCTTGACCAGTCTTCACCCTTCAAATTTTTCCTAGCTAGCACATGTGTTTGATTCGATTCGATTTTTGTGTGTGTTCGACATAGGGAGCAGTTGGATCAGGGTTGTGCTATGTAGGGATGTCATGGTGTGTGAAGCAGAAGGGTGCACTATTCACAGCAGCATTTACACCCACCATTCAGATATTTGTGGCTCTGGTGGACTTCTCTTTCTTTCATGAACAAATTTATCTTGGAAGGTTGACTCAATTATATATATTTTGGATGCAAAACATATTATTTTTACTGTCATGAGATTATATTTCTCTGTCGCTAATTAATAATTAACCTTTGAACAGTGTGGTGGGATCTGTCCTGGTCATAATTGGCATGTACATTTTACTGTGGGGTAAAAGCAATGATCCAAAGTTAATTGTGATCAAGCATACACAAGCAGCTGAAGATGAAGATGCAGAATGTGGTCCAATGCCACAAAACAAATAACCTTCTGTAATTTTATATTTTAACTTGTTACCATAGTGATCAGCTCAATGTTGGAAGACTGACACCAATTCAAATAAGACAGCAGAATTTGCAACCTCTAAACTGTCTGGCTTTAATATTTTGGTAATCCATAAGCTGGGTTGCCCTTTGGTAAAGAATAATTCTAGATAGTGGCGGTTTCAGGATTATTAGCACAAGAGGTCATGGTGTAAAAGTGTAGGCACAGGCACAACATGGAGGCAACCCTCCCGGGGACAAAAGTAAAAACCAAAGGGATAAAGTGGCCAAATTGAAATCACGAGGACTTTTTGACATTTTTTGTGGTAAAAGTGATAAACCATATGAATCAAAAGTGACTTTTTGCCTTTTTATTTATTTATTTATTTATTAATCCTAGCTCATTTCATTTTTTTTGGGGGGAAAAAAAAACCTAAGCCAAAATCTTGTTGTTTTGAGGCAGATTATTTAAGAAAAAATTGACTGGGCCAAAACGACGTCATTTTAGGGTAGCCCCGCTACAAAACTCGACCTTCACAACCATTTTCATGACTTACAAGGGGTCACTTGACCGGGAAAGCTATAATGAGGAGTTTAAAGTGAGGAGACTATTTGAGAATGTCAATCTCACCATCAACAAATGTAAAGAAATTATGGGACTTAAATATTTTAAATATTTTGATAGTTTAATTGGCCTCCTCAAATAGTCTCATCGCTTTAAACTCCTCATTATAGCCCCTTCCATCGTTTGACCCCATGATGAATCTGATGAGGGACATTTTGAAAAAAGCAAAAGGAGAGAAAAAAATTTTAAAAGAAGCAAAAATGGACAAAAATGCTCTTATTTATTTTTAAATTTCCTAAGGAATCCAATACATTTGCATGTCTTTGATTTGAAAGTTGAGTGATTTTTTTGTCTTTTTTGAAAAAGCTTTGATTTTTTCCAAAAGTGAAATTTTTTTTATGTCTAAAACCTAAAAAACTTATCTGATTATAGGGAGGCCGCATTTTTAACAGTCAATTTTTTCATCTGGTGCGGACTCTAGTGGGGCTTTTGATCCTTAAGGATGCTGTTGCATCTCTTTTTTTGTTATTTTTGGGCTACAACCACATAACAATATAGATTGGTCTTAATTTTTTTATTGGGTTAAAACTAAAAATTGTGGGCCGGACCTTAAACTCAAATCTTCATAAAATATAGTCGGAAAATTAATATTTTCCAAATTCTACAAATGATTTCATTTAGTCAGATTTTATTTTCAGTCACATATTGATTTTATTTTTTGTCATTTAAAAAAAAAAAAACACACACGCAAAATAGAAAAAGACGTGAAGAAAATGAAATCTCGAAAAAAGTGAGGGTATCAAAATTCAGACAAAGGGCTGGAATTATTATTTTATAATTCAGCACATAATAATTCCAGCCTTGAGCAAAATAAAATAAAATAAAATCCAGCAGGAAAAAAAAACACCAAAAGTAAAATAAAATAAAAGAGGGAAATAACTAGATAAACCCTAGTGGCTACTACTGTGGCCGAACAAAAGCCCTAACGTGAGGTAGAGGAAGGTGATCTGAGTCTGGGCAAGGTGTGCTATCAATCAGTAGAGCAATTGGGAAAATGGGGGGCAATGATAAGAGGAAGCGAAGCGAAAGTGAAGGAGGAGATGAACAACCAATGGAGAAGAAGAGGGAGATTCTGCCGTCGATGATAAAGAACAAGGAGAAGAGGTCGGCGATCCACGCCAAGCTCAAGCAACAGAAGAAACTCGAGAAGCGCAAGAAGGCCAAAGCTCGCGACGCTGCCGAGAAGCGCGCTCTCGAGCTCGGCGAGGAGGTAATTTTGAATTTTGAATTGGTATTTTAATGATTTATTTTTAGTTTTGGTTTATTTAGCTAATTGCTGTTGCTAATTGCACTCTGTAGCTTCCGGCGAAGAAGATCCCTAAGACGATTGAGAACACCAGGGAATTCGATGAGACTGTTTGTAAGCCCGACGACGAAGAGGTTTCTCTCTCTTGCTTGGTTTTTTGCTTGTCTTTTATTGCCTTGCAATGTAGCAAATCTGAAACTGATGTTCTTTATGCATCAAAAATAAAATGATGGTTTGCTTAATTTCAGCTTTTTGTATTGTGTTCAATTGCAGCTGTTTGCTGGAAATGATGCCGATGAATTTAGTTCGATTTTAAAGCGCGAAAGGACTCCAAAGATATTAATCACTACTTGCCGTTTCCATTCTTCCGTATGTACTGTCCTCCATTCCCACTTTTTTGCTAATTTGTGTAGGTTGTCTTTGGTTGATGGTTTTTTTTTGTTTTGGGTTTGCAGAGGGGGCCTGATTTAATAAAGGAACTACTTTCAGTGATCCCAAATGCACACTACTATAAAAGAGGAACCTATGACTTGAAAAAGGTGCTTTCTTCTTAAAAAATTTCCCCTTTCCAATATAAAAAACGTGAAATTCGAACAATTTATATATGTATGTTTCTATCTTTTGCAGATTGTTGAATTTGCAAATAAGAAGGACTTCACATCTATAATTGTTGTTCACACCAATCGCAGGGAACCAGGTTGGTCCTATCTCATTCTGGAGGTTTCTATAGAATCTTTCTGTCAATATTTGCTCTCTCGGGCTTTTATTCTGATGATAAACTTTTAGGTTGTTGGTGAAGTCACTGAAGTGTTATCTTCCGCTTCTCTTGTTTTGTTGTGAATTTGTCTGACTGTCAGCTATTGTAATAATTTTGTAGATGCTTTCGTAATAATTGGCTTACCTACTGGACCTACTGCCCATTTCAAGCTCTCAAATCTTGTTTTACGCAAGGATATCAAGGTTGGTCACGTTCTGTTTTTTTGTATTAAGACAAAACTAGTGGTTGACACTGTTGTTACACATACTGCACTGAAGGGTGTTTTAACTTTCTTTTTTCACCAATGGAGAGTAAAAAGTGGATACATATTAGAAACTTGTAAACACTCGAACAATACATCCTACAGTTTATCTAGTCTCCTTGGATTTTCATTCAACTACACTATTAAATAGTTGTTTTGTTTCTTATTCTTTATTTGAAACACCTGCAGAATCATGGAAATCCAACCAGTCATGAGCCCGAGCTTGTATTAAACAATTTTACAACACGCCTTGGTCATCGCATTGGAAGGTTGGGTTCTTTATCTTGTTTAAAACGTTCTCCCAAACTATATGCAATGCATTTTAGTACTTTTAGGTTGGCGCACACCTCATCATATGTGGTCTAAATTGAAATGAGTGCACCGTACTATTCTGTTTTTTCCCCTGTACAATTAGCTTTAATAGCTGTTTGATATCTAAATAAGAATGGTATTAATCCACCTCTCCCTTTCTAATGGTTTTCATTGTTGATCCGTTTTCTTCAGATCAATACAGTCACTTTTCCCACAAGAACCAAACTTTCCTGGTCGGCGAGTTGTAACTTTCCACAACCAGCGAGATTTTATATTCTTCCGGCATCATCGGTGTGCTTCTTTGGCATTTTTAAGTTGTTGCAATGAGAAAATATTTTACTATTTATTTTTTCTAAAGCTTCTCTTTTGCTAATGAAAACATTGCATTACCATGTGTTCAGGTATATTTTTGAAGCCAAAGAGACTAAACAGACCGAGTCAAAAGGTAAAAAGACCAAGGATGCCAAGGGTGAGAGTGAACCACAAGGGAAAGTGATTGCCCGTCTTCAGGTTGGTGCCAATCAGTTTATCTTTTCTTCCATCTCACTTCTTTTTATACATATTGATCTGTTTGGCCCAGGCCTCACCTCCACTACTTGGAAATATCTTTATGCTTTGTTGGTCCTTCACTGTGGTGTGGTTCACAAATGGAAATAGGAAGGCAGAGTACCGACACATGGCCTTCATAGGATGCGGTTTACTAGGATGAAATCATGGATTTAAAAGTTGTCTTTATATACTCTCAGAAACAGTTATAAATGTACCTTGTCAAAAACATATTTGGTTTGTCATAACACTGTTTCCATCTTAAACACACAGGAGTGTGGCCCTCGTTTCACCCTTAAACTACTCAGTCTGCAGCATGGGACCTTTGATACTAAAGGCGGGGAATATGAGTGGGTTCACAAGGTAGTCCACTTATTAATCAATTTGTTTCAGTATATTGACTTCATATTTTTTATCTTAAGCAAGTTTTCGATAATATCTCTTACTCATAGTTGGCTGTATATTTTTCCCCTACTCATTTGATTTACAGCCGGAAATGGACACTAGCAGGAGGAGGTTTTTTTTGTGACTTGCTTTGGAATATTGCTCGAGTTTATCATTGCTGGACTGCAATCTCTGTTTAACCGTTGCTACCCCGTGGCCAGTAGTAAATCAGCCCGGAACATTTTTTGTATTTTAAGATCAATTTTGTGCTGCTCAATTCCTATGACTCGCGGTAAATTCTGTATCAAATGTTGGAAAAAGATTAGTAATTGGTGGAAACTCATATTTCTTCTCATCATTTTCTCATTTCTACCTTGCTTGTGTTGCAAACAACTGCTGTCCTACTTTTATACACAGAATGTAGTTGTGTGATGTGAGTGCATGCTTCTCTGATTACATAAAGGCAAATCAAAACAAATATACCTCCAAAAGCAGCAACTCGCAACACCAGTCTCTCTGGTGGGGTGTTTGTGGTTAGATAAGCACAATCTATGATTATCAAAATCCAGCTTGAACTCCCGAGCAAAGACCTAATCAGTATGAACTTTCCTCTTTTTGTTCCCCCAAGCCGGCATATAATCCTCCAACACAGGGTGCCCACAACCAAAAAAGTGGTCAATGACCATCCCCTGTAGGATATTAATGTTCCTCCCACAATCAAAACCTCTTTACGACACACACAAGATGCACACTCACCTGAAAAAGTTGATGAGACTAGAGCGTCAAAACCAGTATAGTAGGGTAAGATGACAGAATCCAAGTATATGCTTGCATGCAAAATTCCAGAGATGGTTGATGTCTCAAAAAGCACATACTTGATGTCTGTTTCTGCTCCATTGTCGAAGGTTAGAGCAGATATCAGAACCAGCAGGAGGATTGCTGGACCGGTGCATGAGAGAGGAAAGGCAGAGTTTATCCGGTGGCCCTTGGCTAAGGCCAAGATGATCAGTGGAAGAGCAATTGGACCGGAAGGTAGCAAGTACCTTTTTGACTGACTAAAACTTTGACCTCTACCTGATATGTGCACCACCATAAAGATCAGGGTTGCCAAGTATGAAGCTGCTGCAAAGAAAAGAAGCAGAAAATCCACAGCAGGCGAGTAGTTTCCTGGGTAAACACTGTCACAGAAGTAGTGGTAAGGGCAATTGATCGGATCCAAGGTTTCCTCCACCTGCCATCTTGTACATTTGAGAAATGTTAACCGGATATCTTCCACGGTCCATTCGGGTTGCCATGCTGCATATTCGGGTCGTAAGACGTTCCAATTCATTGCAGTTTTAGTTGAAACTGTGTTTCTTCCTGCGCCCCTTTGTTTCACAAACAAACATCTATATATATGTGTATATATATCCCAGGACATGAATGTTGGGTTTTGCTCTAAAAAATTAAAACTTGGCTTATTTGTTAGTTGAGATGTTTCTGCTGAAGGTGAACCGGATGAAGAAAGATCAACCAACTATTCTTGTGTTTCCTCATCCGTACATGACCACTGGGTTTATTTTATTGCAAGGGAAACCATTTATATTAAGCCGAAAAAAATGTAGCCAGTGGTTACTTTTCATAAATGATGTTGCTATAGCCAACGGGGTCTAGTCCAATGAAAAAAGGTTTTGACTTGCAGTCTAGTGGTCTTAAGTTCGAATCTCCATGGCACCTTGGTAGCGTGTGTGTGTGAAAAACCTCCTCCCCCTTGTAGTTTAGACTATCGCTTGTATTAACAAAAAATGGTGTTGCTATTAGTTTGACAACTTAAGCTTTCTCCAATGTGCTTTTGCTTGAGAAATACCATATTGGGATTTTATTTTCTTGGTACATTTTGATGGGATTGAACTAATAATATATCATAATCCTATTCTTTTTCTGCCCCCTCTTCAATCATCGGCTTATATTGTTAATAAAAAATAAAAAATCATCGACTAAAGAAAAGTAAGCAAAAAATAAAGGTTTGGGATTGATAGAAAATGGCCTCAAAATTGAAGATATATTTTGTAATGAATTGAGTGGCAAGGTCATGTGGGTGTGTAGGTAAAATGGAGCAGGAATAAGGGAGGGTGACTGGTTGAGGGAACTTGCTTCCAAAGGAAATATGCCTGTTGGGTTTGGTAGATGATTGCAAATTGGCAACTAAATATTGGTGATGGATTAGCAAAGTAGTAGGAGGGGTGGAGTTTTTTTTATTTTTTATTTTTTTTATTTGGGTTTAATTTGGTTCTAAGCAAAAGGTTTTAAAACACAAAGTTATTAGAATTTGAACCCCAGCTGAATCTATAAATATATAGAAAAGAGGGTGAGGGTGCGTATTTGTTAAGATGTTGACGAATGCTACTATGGAATAGTTTATAACAAGCTTTGGTGGTGAAGGCCTGCAACTTTTGTGAATTATATTTATATCAGCTTTGGATATGATCTAAGAAAATTCAGTTCTATATTGTTATTATTATACAAAATTAGTGAAATACCCATTCTTAGACAAGAAACTATAAATATACCATATACCAACCTTCTCTCAAACCTTTACTTTATGACATGTGTCACTTTCTCTACACTTAAAACAATGTCATTAATATATTTGACAATGCCTCTTTTGTTTCCCAAATTTACCCTTATTAAATGGATTGGACAAACTAACTTTTGTTCCCACCTTGTTAAAAAATTAAGAAAAAATTTTAACATCTTCCACAAAATTAATGTTAATTTTTTTTTTTAATAAAAAAAAATTATGTTTACTCTTTTTCTGGTGAGGGAAGGGGGAATGGGTTTTTGGGTATGGAATCGAAGGAGGAGAGAGAGTGAGAAGTACAGTGCATGATGGGGTTTTGGATTGGAGAGAAATGGTGATGATTGGGTAGGGATGGGGGCCGTTGTTTTGGCGAAGGGAGGGGACTGGGTTTTGGGTCATAGAGAGAGAGAGAGAGAGAGAGAGATGGCGTAATGGATTTGGGTTTGGGTGGTTTTTTTTTCTCTGTTTCTTTTTATCTTTTAACTTTTTTAATCAATTAGAATGTTCATTAATTTTAAAAAAATATTTATCTGTATTTTTTAAAAAATTCCATAATTTTTAACGGTTTTATTGAAAAATTTATTTTTGGAACAAAAGTATAATTCGTTTTTATTTTCAAATATTTATTTAATTGAACTTTTAGTGTTTATTTTTTAAATTTAATTGTTTAAATTAAGTTGTAAATTGAAGAAAATATAAAGTTAATACATTTAATAAGGATAAATTTGGGAACAAAAGATATATTGTCTAATGCATTAATGTCATTGTTTTAAGTGTAGAGAAAATGACACATGTCATGAGGAGAAGGGAGAATGTCCAAAAGAGAATGTTAAAAGGTTATTAGCATTCCCCTACCATTTAATCTTTATAAACATACCCAAAAGAAACCCAAAAATAAACAATTTGTATATTTTTTAATTTAATTAATAAGATGAAATACCTTGATAACCCTTTTTAGCATTAAATTAATTTTGGATATGTAGAGAACAAAATTCGACAAAACCACTCTCTGAGGTTTGAAGCAAGCCCATCTCCTCCCTTAAACCCTCGTATCTCCTCTATTCTCTCCCTTCTTCCCTCTCTCTGCCTTCAAAGTAAACCAAGTAGTCTTAGAGCCATGGACCAACACAAGACCAACGGAAATCCTCCCTCGTCACACCGACGACAATCTCCGTTATGTTGGTGGGCTCACACGTGTTCTCGTAGGCGATGCCTCCATTTCCTTTGTAGGTTTGTTCCATCTGCTTCAATTCGTTCATTTCCTTTTTATTTTTGCTTAATTTACTTGAATTTCGACTCGATTTCAGTTTCTTCGTTGAATTTGGTGCTAATTTCTATTTTTTATATGAATAAAGCTAATGGTTAAGCTCACGGAATTCTGTGGCTACTCTGTAGATTTGAGGTGTCAATTACCGGATGAATGTGTTCAGAACGCCGGTGGTGATTGTGAGAAGAATGAAGATGAAGATGATTTCTCTTTCGCACTCGACGGATCGCCGATTTCCACCGACGATATATTCAAAAATGGCTAGATCCGTCCAGTGTTCTCGATTTTCAACCGGGACATCTTGTTCTCCGATGCCGACGATGACGAAGCTTCCAGAGCCAGAAGGGCTGCCACTTTGTCTTCCTATCTGCGACCGCCATTAAAGAAGCTTTTCTTTGAAGAGCGGGATACACCAACCTCGGCAACATCGTTTTACAACTCAGGAGGTGGACTCGGGTCGTGATCCATGAGATCAACCTGCTTCTGAGTTTGATCATCAACACCTTCTACAACAACAAGGAAATATTTCTCTATGAGAAGGGGGATTCCCCCTTATCTTACATCACTTAGCATAATGAATCTCAAGATCTGTAAGCCACATCCCTTACATATGGATTAGAGCCCGGAAGATAACAACACCCTGATTAAGTAATACAAGAGAGTAGTTGGAAGCTGAGAATACATGCCTTTCATTCTTGTGCCCCCTATCAAGGTACTTCCATTTTGAGACAACATAAATAATGTCATTTGCTTTAACTGCATATCTATTTAATACAGTTGTGTGAACTAATTGTGTCTTATGCTCTTAGTTTATGGAAGATGAAGAAAGCCAAGGGACAATATGATGCATCACCTTGTCAACCATGAACTTAAGCCTAACACTTAAGTAAGCTTCGTCAATCAACCATGAACTTAAGCCTAACACTAAAGTAAGCTTCGTCAATTATCTATGAGATGCTTTGCTACTTGTTTTTTGTTTTGGTCTGAGGTGTATTGTTCAACATCTTATTGAATGATAATTTAAATTTAGTTGATTTTGTTTTGATTTACATCTCTATGCAATTTTAATGTTGTAACGCCTCTGATGTACGTATTTTCACCGTTTATTTTTATGTTGATTTCTCATTTCATTATTTTCTAGTGTTTATTGTTTGATTCGTTGTGTGTTTTGTTTGATTTCATTTTGGTCTTCTGTATAGAAATTATCATTTTGAACTCATTCTAAGTGTTCCGTGTGACTGAATTTATTCATTTCTATGTGCCTTGATCTGGCATTTGCAACAAGCCAATTTCGGCGTTTTGGGTGGTTGCGGGTCTAATATATGACTCTTGTAAATTGCAACAAGCTGGTAAGTTGATTTGTAGTATACAATTTGTTATCTATAAGTGGTATGAACAGTTGTTAACTTCCAATAAGTGGAATGAACAACTATTATACTGTTCATACCCTGCAACTGAGTTGATTTATATGACATAATACTAACAATGTACTTCTATGATATAGTATTAACAAATTTTCAGTAACAAAACATGCTCTATATTTTTCTCTATATATAGATGTGCACTTGAAGTTTATGATATGCAAAATTTGATTTTTACTAGGAAGATAGTTCTATGACATAGTATTAACAGTGTACTTCCGTAACATAGTATTAACAGTGTACTTCTGTAACATAGTATTAATAGTGTACTTTTTTTTCCTTGTAGAAATATTTCCTTTTACCTTTGCGATTGTATCTGGTGAAACTGTGGACAATTGGAGGTGGCTGCAAAAGATATCATATGTCTTGCCAAGCTTTTTGGGGGTTTTTTTTTGAGTTTTTTTTTTTTTTTTTTTGTATGAAATGGTATTAACAATGTTTTCTATGAAATTGTATTGACAATGTACTTCTATGACATGATATTAACAATGTACTTTTATGACATGATATTAACAATGTACTTCTACAACTGTTATTAACAATATACTTTTACGATATTGTATTAATAATGTATTTTATGACATGATATTAACAATGTACTTTTATGACGTGGTATTAACAATGTATTGCTATGACATGGTTTGCAGAGGTTTGATGGAGAATGAAGGGTTGTGGGAACAGGCCCTTGGTTTTCGTGATTTTTATTTTTATTTTTATTTTTAAGTTTGGGTTTTTAAAAAAAAATATGTGATGGGCTTGCTGGGCTTGTTTTGAGTTTTTTTGGGAATTTTGTGTTGAACTTGTTTTAAATTAATTAATGGCAGAGATGTAATTTATAGGAACTTCAATACTAATTTCATATGTAGTAAATGGTTTTTGGATATGTTTCTAAAGTGCATTCTATGTAGGGTTTTTTTATTTTATAATTTCAACCCCTATTTTGAGTTTATTACTAAAGCTCCCTATATTAAAAAAACCTTAGGTTCAAAGTTCGAAGTCTGGCCTTTATGCTTGAATTACCAACTGGTTGATAGTCCAGTGATACTTCTCGTAAGTTCGAGTGTTCTTACTAATGACCAATGAGACTATGATTTATGGACTATAGAGTGATCCTATTGGCCAAC